ACCATTTCTTTATGGATTTTGCTTTGTGCTTGTTGGCATGGTCATGCTGAAACAAGAAATCCCCCTCAGAGCTGGAACCGCACTATTGTCTTAAATATTGTATGCTATATGATTTCACTCAACTGGAACTGAAGAGATTAGCCCCAAACAACCTCAAACCAAAAGTCGCTCATGTGTATCGTACTTTACTAAATATTAGTTGAATCAAATGTGATTTGAAATTCATAACAGCTGGAAGTTACAGTCTGTTTTCAGAATGGAGGGTTGCAGTCAAAACCCAGGAGATAACCATGTATAAGTAGCCTACAAATATATGTTTCCCATCAACCAGGAGAGAGGCGAGCTGTACGGTCTATGATAGAAGAGTGGAAAAATAAACAATCTTTTGATCTCAAATATGAGAACATCTTCTCAGGGAGACTCTTGAAAGTATCCCTTTTTTTCATTTGCTGTTTTTACATACAGGTCACAAAGTGAGATGGTATAACATTGATCATCAACAGAGACACAAAAAAAACAGCTATATAAAGCAATCGATCCAGCATCACTTCTCCCTCAGAGGTGCTGTGGATTATTTTATGCTAAATGTGTCTCCAGATAATAAAGCTGTTCTGAAATGAGATGCTCACAAAAAAAAATGAAATAAATGTTGAGCTGGCCTTTTGAGTGCGCGCACACATTCGTGCACACTCCTTAGGCACGCTCAATAGACAATAAACTGAACATCAAAAGAAGAAGAAATAGGCTTTTTGCTAAATAAAAGCATCACTCGGTAATGGCTGCTATAAGACGATAAACAGTGCAGGAACTATCTCCAAGCAATGGCATATCTCTCTGCCCCCTTTTTTTCTCTTCTTCTATTTTGCAACTTCCTTCAGTGTATACTCTCAAAACAGGCTTAGAGCTTCTTCTTTTCTTTTTTTTTTCATAAGGGGGTATTTTTAATTCTGAAGCGAGGGATTGGTCACACTTCGTCTCATTAGCATGAGGAGCTGTATAAACCCCGCCACTGCAGAATTTTGAGCTGTGTTGAAGGCGAGGCAACAAGCGTATCTGACTGGCTGCGCGCAAGGAGCAAGTAACTTTCACTTCCAGCACAGTTCAGTCCATAAAAGCGGGAGCTGTATGGAGAGCTCACTCCAGAGGTGAACTGGTCTCATCTGTTCGGCGCACAATGAGACTGCTTACCGAGGGGAAGATTACTACGAAGATGATGACACGGGGCAAATTTACAACTTATTGGCACCGGTGGATTTTTATATTCTCGATCCATCAATTTTTATTTGCCTCACTGGCTCAGTCCGAGGGAAATACTATTCGATACCAGACCAATGAGGAGGGCGCACCAGGTACAGTCATCGGAAACCTTGCCAAGGACATGTCCTTGAGTCTGTCTCATTCCTCCAAGACCAATTTCAGGATGATGAAACAATTCAATGATTCATTCATCAGGGTGAGAGAAAGCGACGGGGAACTCACTGTCGGGGAACGAATTGACAGGGAGAGAATCTGCAGACACACTCCACAGTGTCTCATTACTTTTGACGTTGTAAATTTCTCCAAAGATCGCTACAAATTGATTCACGTTGAGGTGGAAATAAGGGACATCAATGACAACTCTCCGGAGTTTCCAAACAAGGAATCTATAGTGGAGATCTCAGAGAATGCAGCAGTGGGGTCCCGGATCCCTTTAGACCCAGCTGTGGACTCTGATGTCGGGTCAAACTACATCCAAAGCTATCAGATTTCTGTCAACAGTCATTTCACCATTGATGTGCTCCTGAGAGCGGATGGGGTTAAATATGCGGAATTGGTGCTAATGAAAGAGCTAGACAGGGAGACTCAGTCATCATACACTGTGGACCTGGTCGCCACAGACGGAGGGAACCCTTATAGATCTGTGTCAACAAAGATAACTATCAAAGTGACGGACTTTAATGACAACAGCCCCGTTTTTGACCAGAACAGTTTCTCAGTCAGTTTGCCAGAGGACGCGCCGGTTGGCGCTGTCATACTGGACTTGAACGCAGTTGATGCTGATGAGGGTCTAAACGGAGAGGTCGTCTATGGGTTCGGAAAACAGGTTTCTCACGAGATCCGAGAACTTTTCCAAGTGGATAACAAATCGGGTCGCCTGACGCTCCGGAGCCCGGTGGACTTCGAGGACAAAAGCACCTACGAGCTAGACGTGCAGGCGACCGATCTGGGACCGAACCCGACCCCCTCCGTGTGCAAAATCATCATTCACGTCACAGACGTTAATGACAATGCCCCAGAAATCAGCATCACCCCGATGACCTCCATCTCGACGGGCATCGCTTACATCAGCGAGGCGGCAGACAAGGACAGTCTGGTGGCGCTGATCAGCACCTTGGACAGAGACTCGGGTGTTAACAGCCAGGTCCACTGCACATTATACGGCCACGACCATTTCAAACTCCGACAGGCATACGAGGACAGCTACATGATAGTCACAGCAGCAGCCCTAGACAGGGAGAGGATTAGTGAGTATAACTTGACGGTCATGGCTGAGGATTTTGGGTCACCCCCGCTGAGAAAGATCATTCAGTACACCATTAGACTCAGCGACGAGAATGACAACGCCCCTCACTTTACCAAAGCTGTCAATGAAGTTTCAGTGGTGGAAAACAACGCCCCAGGCGCCTATATCACCACGGTTGAGGCCAGCGACGCTGATCTTGGCATTAATGGCAAAATTACTTTCAGACTTGTGGACAGCGTTATCATGGGGTCTCCAGTGAACACCTTTGTGTCTCTTAATTCAGTGTCTGGCTCTATATATGCACTAAGAAGTTTTAATTATGAAGTCATGAAACAGCTAGACATACACATCCAGGCAAGTGATGGGGGGTCACCACAGCTGCAGAGCACAGCTGTCATCAGACTAAAAATAGTTGATCAGAATGACAACCAACCTTCTATCATAGAGCCACCACTGTACAAAGGATCTGCTGAGGTTTTCCTGCCCAAAGATGCACCTGCAGGTTATGTGGTAACCCAGATAAAGGCCACGGATGCTGATGAAGGCATAAACGCACAGCTGTCCTATAAAATCACAGAGGGGGGACACCTGGGCTTCTCCATCAACAAAGACACGGGGAAGGTGCATGTGAGCCGACAGCTGACGTATGATCTCACAGACAATGTCAAAGTCACAGTGTCGGTCAGCGACAATGGATCCCCCGCGCTCACCTCCACAGCCATTATACACTTGAGCTTCATAGAAGGAACTCTACCCAGTATGCCTTCCTTGGCTCAAAATGGCAGCGAGGAGCTCTTTGAATGGGACATGTCCATAGCCATAATCATTGTCCTGGCAGGGAGCTGCTCTCTCCTCCTGCTGGCTATCATTCTCATCACAACCATTTGTAACCGCCGGAAGAAAGAGACGAGGGAGGAGGGATATGATGAAAAAGAAGACGAACCAAATGTGGAGAAAGTGGAAAGTGGCCATATTGATTCATTGATTGCCAACCACAAAGGCAAAGTGTTTGATGCCCATCCATTTCAAGAGAACCCTCCATTGGCCAGCAGCAACACAACAGAGACAGGCTGTGAGGATGGCAGGCAGACAGCAGGCATCTTTGAGTCAAACAGCAGAGTGATGGAGGGTAAATTAAAGGCAAGTCATTATTTTTCCAGAGATATTTAAAGTTTGTTTCTCACTGGCTTTGTTGTCTTTTGCATCTTGACACAAAATTTGTGTATTTGTGTCTTTGCAGGGTTATTCTACGCTCCCGGGATATGGGAAAGAAACAGTCAGACCAATAACAATATGGAAGGGTAATTCATTCACGACGATTTCAGCAAGAGATCCCCACATCAGTGGCAAGGACAGTGGAAAAGGGGACAGTGACTTCAATGACAGTGATTCTGACATAAGTGGAGATGTGCACAAAAAAGAGTCGCCACCAACAAACAGTGAGTGTCAAAAACATGTTAAAGATAATAATAAATCAGAAATTCAGAAGGAAAATGGGTCAAATGAGAGGATGTAAAGGTGGATGCTTCTTATAGTGTGGTTTATATGTTAATCTAAGCCATGCACCATACAGATTGCACCCAGTTACAGCAAAGCATTCTAATACACTGGACACATTATGATTACCTGGGATCACTTTCAACATCAAACACCCTCAACTAGGTGAGCCAGCAAATGCATTTATATTACATCCTGACAGCACTGCTGTTTTCCACAGGTCTCTGGGCATGTACAAGCGAGTGCAAAGTGTTGGGACACTCAGACCGATGCTGGAGCCCCTCAGCTACAAGGCCCAACACGAGCATGGCCTGTGGACCACATCTGTCAACTTTCTCCAAGACAGCTTCACTTCCCCGGGACACCAGAAGGGAAAACTACTACCCAGCTCACATACCCAAAACCAACGGTCTGCAAAGTGTGTATGAAAAAGTGCAACACCAGGAGTTTGATTACATTCTCGTTGGTCCACCGACGCCGGCCCGAATACAGGAAACGGATGAGATATCCATTCCAGAGTACACAAACTCTTAAAGATCAAAAAGTAATCAAAATGGATTTTTTTTTTCCTTTATACTGTATAGTACTTTGATCTTAATTGACTCTATGTTGGATTGTTGCTGTGTTTTGTAGTATGTCGTGTCTTTTGGCTCATATAAGACTGTTCATTGTATCATGTGTAATATGCAAGATTTTGTACATTAATAATATATTTTTCATAATGACTCAATGTAAAGAAGAATTTTATTATACATTTTCGAGAGCATGTGTTACTATTTAAGGGGCATGACCAATGGACATTTAGGCTGACAGGGGCCTTTCTGCTGTGGAAAACAATCAATATGAAAGAATACCATGTTTGTGGTAGATTTTTGTCACTTTGTTGCACAAATAAACGGTTTAAAGTTTAATTGTTTTGCTGTTCCACAACAGTTTGATAAATGTAGCTATCTGGGCTTACAGGACTCAAATGTAGTCTTATAGGAAGAGTACAACCTATTGTCCTGAGGTAATATTCAGAAAGGACACAGAATAACCTCAATTAGCCAACTGAATGGATTTCATTTGCCTTAAAGGCTTATGAGCCACAATAAATAAAATGTGGTCCTCCAACGATCACAACTAAATTGATAGCAAGCATAAGCCAATGTCATATTCTTTTCATGGCATACAATGTAGTTACTGTGCTGCCTCAATTTGCATGCAAATAATGCATTGCTGATCGAATGCCCTTACAATTACATATTTTTTCGAAGGTCAAAGAATCCCCTCACCTTTTCTGATTGCCTCCCAGCTTACCAATTATCCAAAAAATGTGGTTCAATCTGTTTCTAAGCAACAGCAGCACTGCACATTTGAATCTCTTTTCTTACTATGTTTCTTCTTTTTAAGTTTCGATAAGGACCAAGTAACCTTGACCACAAAAATACCTTTCTTCCATTGTCAAATCAGAAAATTCCTAATTAAGCAAAGGTTATGTCTTTGTGTGTGTGTGATTGTGTGTGGATTTTCAATTCTGTCTTAGCATATTGCAAGAATATAAAGACCTACAAAAGATTCTGCATATCAGTTTGACTACAGGGAAGGCAATCTGTTCATTCCCACCTGTAGCCAGCAAAGAACTGGAGGAAGTCAGCAGTATTCAAACATATCATAACTGACATCCAACTATAAAAAGAGGTGGGTGATGAAATTAAAGGGAAAAAAATATTCTCATAAATAATATATACATATGTATGTACTTCTATATTTTCCTCCTAACACTGACAGAAAGGACTGTTAAGAATTTTTTAACCAATCATTACACCACTGCCTGTAACACCAGCTAATCTCTGATGAGATCAGAACTGCTTCAAAAAGTTAGTTTTAGTTTGGTACCACAGGATGGCCATGTTGCTTTAGGCAACCTGGACCTACAGGTAACAGTCAGATGAAGAATTTAGCCCAGAGAATTTATATCAACTGTACGTCATTCACACTCAAACGTAAAAAAGCCTCCTGGTGGATAACCTGATTCTCCACAGAGAAGTAACAGTTTTAGTGTAGGAATTATAGAGGACATCATGAGAGAGACTATGGAAAAAGTCCAAAATACCACCCATGGATCGGGCTGTTTTGAACACTGCATGCCTCCGGTAAGACAGGCTTAATATTTTTTTTTTTTATTAGAAATGTAATTGACATCCATGACGAGTAAATAAAACTGTAGAGTCTGCAAACTCGTAACTTTTTCAGGAATGTTATCAGATGTCCTGGTTATTGTTCAGTGTGTGCCAATTCTTACTTTGCATCCTCTGAACTTTGCAAAGGAACAAAGCACATCCAGCCCGCCAACCTCTGCTGCAGTCAGTCGCCTACTGAGATTTGGAGCTGTGGCTCTTATTGTTGGTGCAGTGTTAATGTTGTGTGCATCCATGGCTGCTCTCTACCTGTGGAAAGTCGGCGATAAAAATGTAAGTGTCGACTGAGGATTATGCTGTAGTTATTGCAGTGCCCCTTCAATAACAGATAGATAAAGTGAATGCAAGAAGGCTTTAGGATGCTTCTGGTGGGAAATGGAACCAAAGCATATTACAATTTTTTTAATTATAGGCATAATTGTATTTTCTTGACACTGTCACAAGAGATGTTTATGTTAACGACTGAGAAGCCCAAGTAATGCTCATTTTCATCATCACAATTCACACTGTGAAATTTGCAACTTGAATTCTGTCTGCAATAGAAACTACCTAAATTGTTTATGTTACTCCACTGAAGCTTATGTGAATTAGTGTAGTGTTTATTTGTGTCCTATTAAGCTCACCTGTTGGGCAAACATTCACTTCGAGTCTGCAAAAGCATCTCCTGTGGTGCTTTCCTCAATTCTCAGTGCGCTTAAACAACACATGATTTCTGTAGATGAAGCAGCACCAACAATTACTGTGCAGAGAAAGCTTGTTTTTTTTCTGCGTCTCTGCATCTATTGTGTTTGCCACAGTGTGATCTAAATAACTTGACTAATCAGTCATTTTAACGTTCCACTTTGCTGCCAGGTTTATAATGTTCGTTACAGTATGAACATCAATGGAGAGGTGAGGGAGGGTTCCGTGGAAATTGATTCTGACAACAACCTGGAGCGGTTTAAAACTGGGAGTGGAGCTGAGGAAGCTGTGGAGATTCATGACTTTCAAATTGTGAGTGAGTTTGTCCTTGTTCTCTCTTCCTGAGGTAGTTCGGCTGAGACTTGCTGTGTGCTTAGCAAAGTAGCAAAGCTGTGAGTGTAAACATGGCATCTCTGTGATTTTGGTGCAGGGAATAACTGGAATCCGCTTCTTTGGAGGAGACAAGTGTTATATAAAATCCCAAATCAAAGGCAACCTTCCACACATGGGAGCTCACAACAAAGAGTCGCTGATGTTTGACCAGGTATATGCACACTACTTGATACAGAACATTGAGAACTGGAAAAAGAAATTACAAAGGATCTTAAGCTATGCTTTTAAGACTGTCTTCTTGTTCCATTTCAGTAATTCAAGGACATTATCTTTTTCTTCTTGCTAGACAGATGAAATGATGCCAGTGAGGTTTGATGAGGAGTTCCTCATTTGGGTTGCTGCAGAGCAGCCGCTGAAGGACACCAGCTTTCTGAGCAACAAAATTCTGGGTCTTTGCCGGGAACTTCCCATTTACTGGCTTCAACCCATCTATCCTAAAGGTTGCCTTCTTCTCTTCTTTCTCACTATTATGTATTGATTCACTCCATCCCACAGAGTCTATAACGCTGGCCTGCTATCATAGAGCATGGTCTATTCCATTTGAATTATTGTACATACTTTCATAGTTTATTCAGACTGCCCTGCTTATCTGCTGACACACTTGTAAAATTTACAAGTCTGAGAAGTTACAGAAACACTTGAACATCTTGAACACACACTACATTTAGAGTCGTACACCAAAAACAGCTCGGGTCTTGTATCAAAAAAGAATGATCTTGAAATATGCAAGAGCGCTTGAAATCACTGCTGCTTGATTTAATTATTCAGGACATCTGAGACAGCCCCAGCTATGTAGGATTGAGCTCTGAGGACATGTATGGCGTCTTGTGGATGTTGACCCAATACTCTTGCCTCTCGTGGCTGCTGTAACAGATGGGGAGAGGAGAAAGAGAGACACACAGCGAGCCAAACGGCAGTTTAACATGGAGGAGTTTGAGGCAGCTGCTGAGGAGAGAGACGCAGTGAGTCACGCAGAGGATGACACCTCCAGAGTCGTGGAGGAAGAGGAGGGGGCACAGTCTACTGCGGGGTCAGCATACAATCCTGAAAACCCCTATCATGTGAGTACTGACTTCATCAATAACATTGTTTATGATAAACAAGGCTCCAGAGCTGGTGAATTTTTGATTAACTATCAAGAGGCATATACTGAACCCTGAAGCAACCCTCAAAGTAACATTATGAATTGAAGTTTCTCTGTTTTGTCAACACTTTTCCAGATGACTTCATAACACCATCCTTAAGATAGCAGCCTTGTTAAAAAAAATGTATTCTCACAGAAATAGAAGTACATAGTGTGGAAATGTGTTAACCTGGATTTAGTCTCTCTGTCAGCTATGGGTATATACTGCTGCTGCTGGTGAGTAAGTGTCATATTAGTGGCTATAATTACAGGTCACCAGGGCAACAGCTGCCATTCTGCCAAGTTGATGAACTTATGAACTGAAGTGAAAATTCCCATTGGTTATAAAAATTCATGTTGCCTGAGAGAACCATAGTCACATGTTTGGGAGGATGAGAAGTTTTCTTTTTTTTTTTGAAAACATCTGACTTGCAAATGAGTGTAAATTTAGAAAAAAGATTGCTCTTAAAAATTAACATTGCTTAAAAACTGCAGCGCAGCGGAGGGGCCGGAGAGGAAAGCGCCATGACCTTTGACACCATGTTAGACCACCAGGGGATCTGCTGCTCAGAATGCCAACGCAGCTACACTCACTGTCAGAGAATATGCGAGCCTCTGCGTGGCTACTGGCCCTGGCCTTACAACTACAGAGGATGCCAGGTAGCTTGCAGAGTCATTATGCCATGTCGCTGGTGGGTGGCACGCATCTTAGGTGTTGTGTAAAAAAAACACGTTACACATGTGAGAGATCTTTTTTTTTCCAAAGACCTCACAAGGTCTCTAAACTCTATTATGCATGCAGATATTTATTTTCTGAGTTTAACTGTGGATACCACAAAGCTATGTCTGTTAGCTTGAAACTCAGATCATGATGTATGATTGTCTGTACTATAATTCCTATATTTTATATTTAGACTTATGCTTTCTCTTTGTAGGCATACACTAATTATTCACATACAGTAACACTGGAATACACAAATGCCATATTCCTATTTGCAGCAACAGACTCACAAATGAGCCCATTCATTTTTGCATCATGTAATAACAAGGCTTAATGCACTGTACTGTGTTTAATGGAAGGTATGGGACTGTATCCAGAAGCTCGGCAGATCATGTACCTTTTCTGACTGAGTAGGCTTCAATAAATTCTAATTACAGTATATGCTGGCTTTGATGTAGATGTTTTTTTGTGTCACATCTTGTTTCCATGGTTCCACTGGGTGCTTTTCTGATAAAACTGAAGTGACAGCAATGGTTGCCATAACTTCCATTCACAGCTCGGAATCAGTTTGAGGGCAATGCAATTTGTGCACACTGACATCTGCATTGATGTGAACTAATGTGAGATGAGTGTCATGGCAATGATGGAAAATATTTCCATAGAAGTGACATTTTTAATAAATAAATAAATATTTTTTTTTTTTATGAAAAGAGAGGAGTGTGGATGCTAAGCTACCAAATAACATGATCACAGAGACAGGCTTTTCTGGTTTGTTTTTGGATAGCTGTTATTGGGGATTGTAGTGTAGGCTATTCTGAATACCTCAAAATCAAAAGAAATCAGATTACTATCTCCAAAGCCATATGCCAACTTTCTAAATAATTGAAAGGAGCCATGTTGCGATCAAGACGATTTCACAGAGGGTGATCCAGGCACATCAAATTACAACAGATGTGAAATTGCACCATATCTGCCACTAAAGCCACATTGAAACTCTGAAGCAGTGTGAGGAAACAACACAAAGAGATGCTTGTCTCTTTGCTTGGAGATCTTTCCTGGTTTTCGTGGGGGTAGAGGTGCTTATCACATCTGCAGTGCTGATAAGACAGCCTCTGTGCTTCCGTAGGCTATATAATATTAATCCCTCTCCCACGTCTGCAGATGCACTTAAAGGAAGGTGACAAGCATGACATATCCAGGACCTCCTGATGGCTCGTGCTCTGGAGTGCAGCCGCTAAAAGAGCCCCAAGTACCCTCAAGTGATGTAAATTTGCAGGGGGAGTCCAATTTCCATCACAGCACTGTCACTGCCATGGTCATTAAACTAAATCATCCCGCTGTGTGTCACACAGCTCCCATTTTAAAGTCCCTTCAATAATGGAGTTATACTTGGACTGCAGATTGCAGCACAACAGTGAATGTCTGACCTGACAGCAGCTGTGAGAGTATCCTGCACACTATTTGATCTTTAGAAATCTGGACGTAAGAGATACCTTGAAATGATTCATTAATTGAGAGAACTTTTTGTATCCTAGTTGCACTGACTGCATTTCAACGGGACTATATATAATCTCTAAAGTTAGCAACTGTAGCTGACATGTAAATAAGATGTGTTATGTGCCTGTTGCTGGTGGCGGTTTCACTCAGAATATGTTGATACAGCAGCACAAGACAAAGAGCTCAGAGTCTAAGCTAGACAAAAAGGAGATGAAAAAAACAAAGCAGAGAGGGAAAAAAAAAAAACATCACCACAAGCAACAACTCAAAATGGCATTTAAACTGAGAAAAAATACATAGCTCAGAACAACAGTAGTTTTGTTATCCCGAGGCCCTGTTTCTAAAAAACTTGTTTCCTTTTGCCATTCCTCTCCTAAGAAGAGAAATACACCCCCATTGAGTAGAAAAGACGAATGTGTTGGAGAGCAGCTTCAGTGTGTGAGACAGTGGTGCCTTTTTGTTTGTCTCCCCTCTGGAGCCAAGCTTACCCTGGGAGCCCTGCAGGCCAGGGAACAAACAGAGCTTTGTGAGCAGTGACCCACTGTGCCCAGCAGCCAGACTGCAAACCTCCACTCCTGTGCTAATAGGAAACCACAGAAGAGGAGTCCGCAGCAGCCGAGGGAGGGGAGCTTTCTCGCATCCACCTGTGCTTTCATCATCGCCCATCAAAACAAGCACAGTCAGGCGGGGTGCTGTGGTACTCTGGTGACCACCGAAACAAAAGCTTTTCCACCGGCATCCTCTTGGCACCAACACTCAGAACAATACATTTGGGATACCTTAGCCGGTGATTTATTTTGTGGCATGGATTTGCACTAATAAAGCCCATGCACTCACTACAGCTCCCTATAAATACGTCAATAGCCTGTCATAAATTTGCCTCTTGTTGCCCAAGAGGCATTAGAAGTGTGAAGTGAACCACTCTAGTAAACGTGTCCTACATTTGATTGCATGTTTTCCATTACATCCAGACATGAATGAAATAAACAGTAGTGACAGTCCATTTTGCACCCTAACCAGAACACAGAAACCCTTTTAGGCTAGCTCATTATGTTTTTCTGCAAGAAAGCACTGCAGTACATTTATAGATGCTGGCGTTGTGAAAAACCTGTAACCCCCAGTTTTGCACCGGCAATAACAACCCAGGCACCGAACATTTGTCTTTTCTATTCTCCTGAATGGTCAGAAATAACATAGCTGGATGAAGGGGGGGCGGTGGGGGGACTGGTACAAGGCTTAAATGCTTTTTAATCCCATGGTTGAGTGACCACTTGCAGCTCTGCCCAGTAGTCTGGCTCTGCCTGCTATTTGCAGGTCTCTCAAGTTTCTTTGCCATTGGCTGGGGTGTCCGCATGACTCTTTCTCCCTCTCTCACTCTCTCTCTCTGTTTCTCACCCTCCTATTTAGTATGCAACCCCCAAATGACCATTAATTAAATGCCTGCTGGTATTGTATGAGGAAGTCTGTCTTGTTTATTTCACTAAAACTGTAAATATGCCTATAGACTTAACTGCATTAAATGAATTACACTCGGTCATGAAACATTAGCGGTTGTCCTCTGTGGCTCAATTACTCTGCACACACTGCAAGGTTTTTTTTTTCTTCTGTGTATTGCACTTGGTTGCATGGTGTCCTTGTTACACTCAAATAGAAAACCTGTAGTGTGGTGTAGGTCTAAATTGGACACGGTCCTGGAATTTGCACCATTGTTTTCCTAGCAACACACTGTATATGTGACAGTTAGTGTGGTGGAGGCATCCAACCTGCAGAGGATGTCAAGAGTTCCTCACAAGAGGTGGGCAGTTATCTTTATAACACAGCAGGCCTGGGCTCTCTCAGAGGATGCTGTACAACCAACAACACAAATTATACCTCCTCACCCACATCATCATTTTTTTTTTACCCTGTCAGTGAAATTTAATTTGAAAAGCCACAGCAAGAGGATCACTATTAAAAGATTAGCTATCAAAATACTAAATTTGTCAAAACTTCAGTCACCTAAGGATGTACCCCAGAACGTACACATCCTCTGGTGGGGTGCTTAAAAAGAGCTATAGATAGCTCAAAGCAGAATCAAATCAACACATCTACAAACTGTAAAAAAAAAAAAAAAGAAAGAAGGAAAAAAAAAAACAGCTCCTCCACAAAGCAATGTCAAGAGGCTTGCCACATGAAAGCAGAAGTTGTCCAAAGAGTTGTGGGAAGTACTGACAAAGTTTATGAGAAAAAAGTAAAATGTGTTTTTAATCCTCAGCAGCACGTGCAACAATGAGGGAGACTGAGCCCTTAGATATGCCACCCCGGGGGCAGGCTCTATACTTAAGGCTTACAACAGCCTCATTATCTCCCTCAACTCACATCAGATCCTAGCAGCAGTTTGTCACAGGCAGGCTCCTCTCTGCCAGTAGGCATCAGACCAATCCTCCTGCAACACTACTGTACATAATTGCCATATGGACAGCATTTTGAGCCAGACTGAAGACTAAAAAGCCCTCCAGGCAGATTCCCCAGATAACTAAATGAATATTTTATCTCATTTCCATCTAATTTGCACCATATTATTATACAGAACTGAATTTTTTAATTAATTGATAGAACAGATCAAACACAGGTTTACACTTTGATTTTCGGGAGCTGTTATTTTGATAATTTGCATGGCTTTTTTCCCATGCCAAGCTTTTTAATCTCCCAGAATTTTAGCATCTCTATATAGAAACACTATAATAAAACATACAGCAAATTAATAACTGTCAGTGCACATGAAATGCTTGTCTTGGTTGTGTGAGCAGTTCCAGTGAGAAGTCCTTTTACCTGCCACCCCACTGATTAATTAATTTCACACTGTTTAATTAAATCCACAGTCTGGGGAGTCTGGGCAGCACCGTGGGGAGCCCTATCTGAGCCTTGTGTGCACAGAGATTACTAAAGAAGGTCTCAGACACCCGCTCTCTCTTACTGATGTTGACACTGACGTCACCCTTCTCTGGATAGCATGCTTGTGTCAGTGTCATCTGGCAGTTGTGAGCCTTTACTGCTGGGGACATGATAGCACTGTACCATTTGTTGATTATCTGCTGGCATTTACATTGACAAAGGAGACTGGAGCAGTTGACAGCATTTGACACAAATAAGTATTTGACAGAAGCATCTGATGAAATGTGGTGCTGCAGTATGTAAACCTTGGATTTCCATAAAGTCATTTAACTGTACAAATACACATCAAAGCCAATCAAAAGTGCCCTAATACATTATGAAATAGAAAAGTAGAAATCCAGCTGGAAAGTTTCCAAAATATGTACATATAAACTCGTAAAATTCATGGGCCATGTTCTGCTAGATCAAAAACAGCACAGACTGGCTTCAGCGTAAATGAGCATATTGAACTCCCATATCCTGTCCAACACTGTTGTATCCAACAGTCAAAGCCTCAGAGACATAGAGACACTGTGTCTCTCATGTCAGAACAGAGAGAGGTGCACGAGTGTGTAGCACAGCAGGCAATATGACTGTGTGGGCTGGAAAGCACGCATGTTACTTTCTCTGTTCTCTTGAAACATATTTTTGGCATCTCTAATCACAAACAACACATTTTGAGTCAGATGGCTCAAATTTGTCTTGACAGCGCAATTTAAAAACATTAAAATGTTGCACGATTTATACAATTCTGAGTAGAACAATATATGTACACAGTTACATTACATTAATTCTTGCTAATCTTTCATATTAAGAAACCTGAACCGGATTCTAACTGTTCAATCTAGTGTTTATATATTGAGGAAAGCAAGGGTAATTGATTGGGTATCTAACGATGGAAGCCTGCTGGTTTGCTGCTATGTGAGGTGGAACCAGCATTTCCTTGTGCTCCCTATTTGATGTGCCAAGATCTATTAGAGCAATGAACACCCAGTAACACTAATATGCAAAAGTTATGATGTAAAACAAAGTTGCCATTCTTTTTATCTGATTCCTTTATTGAAAATAAAGAAAGGAGTGTCAAAAGTAGCTCTTCAATTATCTATGATTTAAATAAGGCACTTTCCATGTACATGCATCTGTGAAAATAATGGAAGATGAAAGTTTCATTTTAGAAATCCACAGTACTTTACTGGAAGGTTTAATTAGCTAAATACAATAAAGTCCTGTCTTTATGACACATATCTTCAATACAAACATCACAAGTATTCACACGCTTTTATTCAAACAACCTCTTAACAAACAGTTGAGGATTGTGCTCCTTACTTAGACAAGATAAACTTTTAATAGGCATTCCAGCGTGCAGCATCAAGACAGTTTTGCAGACTGATACAGCATTAGCTGGAAGAACAGCGCTCTATTTGTGCTTGCCTTGTCCTGTGACAGGAAGACCTATCAGGTGCTCATCTCTACACCCCCCCTCCCATCCCCTCTCCTCCTGACCTCATTCTGTCATCTTCGTTTTCCTTCTTCCCCACTCTCAGGTCTTTTATAAAGTGTCTCCATGCATTACACATTTAACAATGCATTAAAAATAGGCCACCATCAATCAGTCATTCAGTGACGGAGACAGAATCTACTTGTGGCACCAATTTGATATGTTTCTCAAGGTTCAAGAACGAAAGGAACGCTGTAAACTCTTAGGCTGCTGTGTATGTGAAACTTAACAGAGATGAAAACACACATTTATGTGCTAATAATACACCATACCCCCTAAAACCCACCAAAAAAAAATTAGAATTCCCATTTGCTTGATTTCCTACGGCACCGTATCTCACCAGAATCCAGAAACAGAATCAAAATAATATATAGGCAGGCAATAAGCCGTGACAAGATTTCAGTTGATGGGTGCCAGGTTAACATCGTGCCCAAAACAGTGATTTGAGAACTGTGATGCATGATACAGGATAGGTACGAGGTAAAATCTGATGTAATGGTTGGGAGTGAGTCAAACCCTGGGGGCAAATTGTCTGAACAGTCTGACTCCAGGTTGCTCATGCCAAAGCAGATGTTCAACTGACGACAGCAGTACAAAAGACAGTGCAGTATGTTATTCACAAGGTATTTCATATTACTAGGACAGTATGTCAAGATTGCTGAACTACCGATAGAGCTGCTTTGATAGCCATATATATATATTTAATGAATAAATATTAAAGAACTCTCACAAAGGATCTTCACAGTTCCACATGAGTTTTGTTAACATGGTACGTTGTTCTCCTGCTCAGGTAGAGGTATGGAAGCCTGCTTGTGTGCTTTGATGCTGGAGCTCTGCTCTGAGGCTTGATCCTGCATTCTGGACTTAAAAACAGACTGCCCCTCGTCATGGGTAACAGCTTGAAGAGGTAGACACCAAGTGCACAGACATGCCTGAAGGACCACACACACAAAGACATTTGGTCAAAGGATAACACACATTTACTATCAGCTTCACATGGAGAATGGCACATTATGGGGTTTATTTATACGTGGAATGCAGCTTTACCTATTTGTATGCCTCAGAATAATGACCTACATTAAAAGCTTTGTTGCTTTGATACACAATCTGTAATTCAGAGAGGACTGTTCTATACCTTCTGTTTTATTCCTCTGTGTAGAGACATTTGTTGAGAGCAAGCTTAAGTTTTTTCAGTTCTTTTAATTAAAGAAAAAGGGGACATATTAAATAAATAAATAATCAAAAAATAAAGGTGATTGTTTTAATAGTTTGCTGTATTATTGCAAATGAAGAGCAAAACTCTGATGACAGCCAAAACAAGTATGTTTTAAATATGTCCTACTGAGCTAGTAATGCAATAAATGCTTTTAAAATATTTTCCCTTGAAAAATTGCCTTGAAGCTATGTTTTCTTCCTCCTCATAACACATCACTCTGATTCAGTGGAAAAACCGTCTGGTAGATTGCCAAGTGTCTGTTTCTTTTCTTTTTTCTAACAATGTTTTTCCAGACCATTTTCACTTATCACCCCCTCAGGTCATTGCTTGCTCCAGTCTGGCCGTTTTACAGACATGACTCCATATGTCCTTGATGACACATATGATAGCTCATCCAATGTGGATCACATTGTTTTCAACCCCCCCACCAGATTTGTCTAAAACTGAATAGTGCCCTATATAGGAGCAACTGGAAAAACAAAAAGTGCATGACAGCATATCTTACCTTGAAACATCTTTTAAATCTTTTGCTGACTATGTACAATGCAATAGGGTTGATGCACGAGTTGAGTGATGCCATATTAATGCCAAAATAGTCTAGGACAAGAAAGACACTGAGAAAGAAGGATAAACATTAGGTATTAATCAGACAAAAGAGCACAAACTGGGTGATGAACAATGAAAAAAAGGTACTGAATTCTTCATGCTCACCTCAGTAGCTGACACCTATTAGGATCTTTCTCATCATATATGGTTAATTTCAGGATTCTGCTGAGGTATAGAGGCAACCAGCAAAGCGCAAACACAAGCACCAGGCAGAAGACAGTTTTTGCAACTTCTCGTCTCTAAAAAAGGAAAGATACAGTCAATATTAAAGTTGATGTTACACCAATATGCGTGCTTAAAATGTGCTTAAAAGCATTAACTAACTACCTGCTTGGTGTGGTCGCTTAACGTGTTCTCAGTGTTCCTCAGCATTTTTCTGGTCATGAGTATGTAGAAAATGGAGGTCCAAGCCAGTGGCATGCAAAAATAAAAGCCAAAGAGCCACCAGTCCTTTACTGATTTATAAAACTGTTGATTAAACATGACAGAGGCCCACAGTCAGTCGGCGTGGCAGAAGGCGAGATGTTCAGTAGTTGCTACATTATGCAGCATGCATAAAACAATATTTCAAACATAGAAAGGTAGGTAGGTAGGACAGCTACAAGAACGTGTTGGGCATCTCTTGGACGAAGTCAAGAAATAATACTAGTAATTATATATTGCTTACTGCAATGAGTAAAAAGTAAAAAGACAATCAAACCACACATAGCACATGTTGATTTGTTTATCCTGTTGCATTGGCTGGAGACTATTACATTACCTGCATGAACTGTGTGGTTTGCATGGGATGAAGCAGACATATTCTCAGATGCTTGTCTTTATAGTCCATTGTTATCATATCAAAGCCGACAACTTCAGGCACAGCCAGCAGGATAGAAACAACCCATATCAGAGTTATTTCGATTGCTGTCCACACTGGAACCCCGATGCCTTTGATTCGATTCCAGGACACTACAGCTCGGTATCTGCTAAAATCAATTGGAAAATGTTATGGCTTGGGGGACTTTTTGTCTGTAACAATGATACATTTTTCAGTTAAAGAACATTTCAAGGGCTAATGCTAAACAATCTGTCTGCTTGATAAAATACAGATAGTAGCCAGCAAACACTATTTACTTTTAGGGCACAGGACAGTGCCACTTATCTGCGTACCTGTCAACACTCAAAGCACATAAGCTCAACGCAGTAATTCCAACAGAGGTTTTCTGTATGAAGGGGACAAGTTTGCACAGTACCACACCAAATGGCCAATCTTCTGCCATGAGCTGAAGCAAAAACAAAGGGGAATTTCAGTCAGAGAAAAACACCCACAATCAATTTAAGGTGAGATTGAAGTTTTAAAATGGATAAAAAGAGAACAGGATAAGGTGGAGCATTGTGTTCTCATTGTAATTGCACAGCGTGAGGTGAACAACTCACCCTGTACGCGTTGATTGGAATGTCTATCACAATGTGGATGAGGTCCCCCAAAGCAAGACTCGCAATGAGAATGTTCGGTCCACTTCTCATGCATTTGTTTTCATATATGATTTTTAGTAAGGCTGAATTCCCCACTATTCCAACAACAAAAACAACAAGAGAGACAACCGTATTGACATATTTGAAGGCATTTCTGATTCCAGCTGACTCCAAACACATAGGAGGGTGTGATGTTTTTGGTCCTGCTAGTTGGGGTGGATGAATTGAACTGTTGGATTTCTGTTTTTCCACTATTAAAAGACCAGAGGAGGCCGTTTCAGAGAGCTCAGTTACAGCGATTGGGTCTGAATGCTGATCACTGGCCTCGCCTCTGATGAGAATATTTCCCAAACAAAAAATGAGAGCCACGGTCCACATTGTTGATGATTTCCTCAAAAGGCCCTGAGATGTATTGCCAGCACTGGACTGAAAATGAGAGTGAAAATAATTAGCACAGAAACTTAGCCTTGAGATTTACAGTAAAGCATTCAGATGAAGAAGCAGATCAATTTAATTTAATGATCAAAAGGAAACAATAAATAAACAACACTAATACAATATGATACACTGAATTATGCCAGCTTACCTTTAGATGTACAATCTATGCATGAAACGAGCGTCTGCGATTGCAAAACGGGACGTATGTTTAACACATGCTGTGCCTCCTGGAAATGTTAGAACCCAGCTGAGGGAAATCTGGGTTTTATATGCGGAAGGGAAAGTAACAGGAAGTCTAGCACTATGGCTCATGCAAAGGGGAAGAGTATTTAAAAAGGGGGAGGGAAACTCACCTGGCTCAGTGAGACACACCTGGGAGAGCAGCTGAGACCAGCCTTTGTTTGGCATTTGATTTGGTAGACTCCATTTAAAACAAATGTTTAAAAACAGAACATTAATATTGTATGTCTAGAACCATGAAATACTACTTTTTCTTGCAGGGGTGGTTTGAGTCACATTAGCTTGCTGTGCATAGGTAAATTTAGTGCTATTTAAGAGTTCTGATTTGGTTTAAATTTAGATTACAATTTCTCCCCTTCCTTACTTCTCATGCATTGTAAATAAAATCTATCATTTGGTATAGCAGTCTCTGGCTCCAGTTTATTCTGTTGCTTGTGCATTGAGTAGCACCAGGTCACACAGACTAAGGTATTGTTGTCAGCATTAGTCATCAATCTGTCAGTAGTGACTGTAATTACTTCCCTTGATGCATCATCCTCAATGAAAGGATGGTGTTGAAATGTATTGTCTGTTATCACAGAGTGACATCATTTCATTTGGGATATTCTGTTACGTGTTTCCTTCTCTCGCTAAAAAGTTGGCCTTTCTATGACATAAAAGTTCCACACAAAATCAAAGTGTTGTAGTAGTAAAATGCCTATTTCAGTGAGGAGATTTTTTGCTTAAAGCCCCTGAGCCTCAATCATTAAACTTAGAAGTCATCATTAGCAAATGTAATGGAAACAGGAGAACTGTCTTCTCCAACTATGACAGTTTGGATGTACATGAGCCTGATGCAAAACTACCGCCGGGCAACTGCACTTGAACAATAACAAAAATGATACAAGTGGAACCGTGAAATATTCTCAGTGAGTGTCCTTTTAGGATTTTGCTTCAGTTGACATATCACGATTTTTCAAACATGAGTCAGTCTCCACCCTACCAGAGAGACACTGCCTCTGCATCTCCTGAGAGTCCTGAAGAAGGTGACTTCTCCCCTCGACAGCTTTGTGACAACCCAAAGAGCCTGGAGGAACACAAGACATGTGAAGACCAGGAAGATCCCATTGTTAATATCATACCAGACAACTACTCCAGCTCTCTTTTGAACACTAAAATCTGTGCTCCGCTAGTAGCAAATGACCTTGGGAAACTGTGTGCTGGCATGCTTCCACAAGAACAACCGATTATTGAAAGTAAGTTGGTTGAGTTGCATATGATAGTATGACAACTGTTCACTGCCAGGCTGTCTGCATACTCTACATTTTAATAACTTTTCTTTTCATGTAGGCGATTGGAGAGAAACAAGATGCTTCAGTACATCGCCTACAAAAAAGAAGCTGTAAGGAATTATTTTAATTTTCAGTAGCATGACTGAAAGACCTATAAGCATGACAATAGTATTCATATAACATTCCCTTGAAGAGTCTTGTTTTAATGACCACATCATTGAACTCAAGAAAGCATTACCATTGTTAAATTTTAGTTAGTTATTACATTTTTGTTGCTTTGTTTTACCCATATTTTCATTTGATATGCTATAAAATTGATCTGAAACCAATTTGAAATGCTTGGCCTTTGGTTTTTGCTGTTCTTTGATGATCATATAATAATAATTTGCTGGTCAACATGATTAAAAAGCCACAATATATGTATCAAAACTTGGGTAATGACACTGGCTTTAGGAGAAGAAAATCAGTTTTGATCTGAAAACTTGCAATCCATAATTTCAATCCCAGCATGTACTGGGCGAGTATGGTCCCAGAACAGTATCCCCCTCTAACCCTTTTCATTTGTTCGCTACACTTACCTCAGGATGCAGCTGTTTCCACCCAAAAGCACTTAAAAGGTCCAGTAAAACTACTGTACGTTACATACTTGTTAGATGGTAAGGAAGGTCAACAAATGCTAGCTAAACACCAAGATTTTTATCAATTGATAAGGATCAGAGCTGAAAGAAGAGTGAGTATTTGACAGGAAACATTATCTGAACTGATATCAAATAATTTGTAATGTTGCTCCATGCCTGCTGAATGTGCAAAAATGTGAATGTTTGCTAACATATTGGCCAAAACAACTTTATGAGACGATGATATGTCAGATGTATGTATTTTATCTTGTGGAGGAGTTCCTCTGCCCCCAAAAGGCCAAAATGTATTAATTTAGCTGTAAGATGAATAGAGTTGTTCTGTAATTCTTTGTCTCCTGTCTGTGGAGTGAAAAATAATTGGCACTGAAACTTACATTTAGGTGAGGAAACGGATCAATTTAACTTACTGATCAAAAGGAAACAATAAATACATTTGGTTCTGTCTCTGTTCTCCGGAGCAGTCCGGTCTCACCAGAGTTCATGGAGGTACGTGCCCTGGATGGAAGATTCATTACTTTGGTGAGCACTCAGACCCAGACAGATTGGGAGTGGGTGGAGCAGAGCCTCTCTTTCAGCTGTCAAGGTAAGCCATGTCATCAGTTTGGGTGCGAGGGGGTCACCTGTTCCTGCCCCCTCTTGCCTCTCATGACTTAGACATCTGTCAAATTCCCAATTATTTCTCTCTTGTGCAGTTCAAAAGGAAATTGAAGATCCAGAGTTGTTGCAAGCAGAGGTTGTGAGCGTGGACACTGACAGTGATTCTTCACAGGACGCATGCTCGTGGCAAAAAGTGTGTTTTATGCAAGTGAAGTCAATTCTGTTCTCCCAAATGCAAAATCTGGTGGTAGAAAGTAACTAATGTTTACTCAAGTACTGTAGCCTACTTAAAGGTCCAGTGTGTGGTCCATATTCAGGAGAATCTAATGGCAGAAATGGAATGTAATATTCACAACTATGTTTTCTTTAGTGTATAATAACCTGAAAATAAGAATTGTTCTGGGGTTTGTTTGTTTATCTTAGAATGAGTCTTTTACATCTACAGATATCACAGGTCTCCTTCCATGGAGGCTGCCATGTTGAACCGCCATGTTTCTACAGTAGTCCAGAATGGACAAACCAAACACTGGCTCTAGATAGGGCCATTCATGTTTTTTGTAGTAGTTTCTCTATTCTGCCTGTACGGGAAGAGTGCAACTACACACCTAAATGCCACTAAATCCTACCACATTGGTCCTTTAAATTATCCTTATATTTACCAGCTGCAACACTGAAGTGATACTTGTAAATAAATATATCATTAATCCAATATATTTATGTACTTTTTCTTAAGTAAAATTTTGAATGCATTACTTTTACATGCAAAGTATTCATGGTATGTTTTATATATATATATATATGTGTTATATTATTACATCCAACAATCTATACGAGTATTGGTCTTATTCACATCAGGAAACAGAGGATGAAAAGATGCCAGAGAAGGAAGATGATATACGTTGTGTGGGTCCGCCTCGACTCATAGCACACAAGCCAGAACCAAAACAAACTACTAGTGAAAAGGTACCGTCGACTTAGTCCTGTATCTCTATATTGCCCATAGTCCCTGGAAATGACAGTGATGGCCTTTTTCATTTTCCCACAGTAATAGCAGTGTGTGGAGGCTATAATATCAGAGGTGGGGAGGTGATTGTGAATCTGTTTTTTGCCGCACTGTAGGTTCCAAAGGTTGAATCTAAACAGGGTGTGCATCTTGCTCAGTGTGACTATTGCCAGCAGCTCTGTCAGCCCTTCATGCAACTGCTGGAAAATGAAACAGACTTTGAGAGGGTTAGTGTGCTTGTTTACCTCTAAGAAGAAATTGAAAATAAATTCATTAGAAATAATGACTTTTCAGATTGACTGTTTGTGGTGGGAAAAGATTCATAGGGGAACAAAAAAACCGAAAAAAAAAAACCTAATGCTGTAATTTTCTTTTATTCAGCTCTTTTGTTGTGAGCAAGCAAAACAAATGAGAGAGTTTATCCTGGAAGAGAGAGAAAAATTGGTGCAGAAGGAGTCAAATAGAAAGATCGACGTGAGCTCTTATGCACCCATGATGAGTGAGGAAGACAGGGAAGCTGCTGAAGAGTTGGCAATTGAGAGGTGAGTAACGTAGGCGTTGTGTCCCTTGTGTGTTTAGTTTATATGTTGGGAGGATGGTGGGGAAGGCTCCTGAGGGACATATATGTAACTGTATTGATATTGATATTGATATTGATATACTATATTGCATGCAATAAAAGAGTCCAATTTCTCTTAGTGCTGACTGTGACAAAAAAATCTAAATTTGATTCCAAACATACCCTTCAAGGTTTGGCATTGCATTGTACAGTTTCCCACTTCTGCAGAAAATAACTTTGTTATTTTTTATTTAGGTTGAGACATTGGAAACTCCAGAGAAAACTTAAAAAAGACAAGATAAATAAACACACAAGTAAGTAGTCAACCTTGGGCCTTAGTCTTGACAAACTAGTTCAAATGATGAATACATGAAGTATTCAGTTTTTCAGATTTCTCATTGACAAAATATCAATAAATGAATGTTTTCCTTTGTCTGTTCAGGTTGTAGTGAGATCAAGCATAAAATTTACAGCCTGTCAAAAGAGATTCAATACATCAATGATGAGCCTCACAACCCTAATGCTGCTGGCATGTCTACACTACAAGAAGAGACAGATGGTGGGGCTAAGGTATGTTGCTGTGTTCTTTTCCTAAACCACAAGTGTTTTATCAATGGTCTATTTACCAGAAATGTAATAAATAACTTGGTTATTGGTATTACAGCTAAAGGATGTAATGAAGAAGTTCTACAAAAGTGGGGAATGTTTTCTCACCTTATGTCAAGATGGAACAGGCAATGTTTTGTATCCTTTTAAGCAGTGCACAAAGTGGAAGATCAAGGACAAGGTCAGAGTAATGAGAGGGTACACATTTGTTCCCTTTGATAAAAGGTTTGCACAGTCTTAATGATCCTTAATAGACAAAGTTATCCTTCTGGGAAAGCAGCCATTATAATATCCTCTGCAGAAGCTGCTGACTTCACTTACATCATCTTGGAGGACA